TATCTCTTCGCATATAGCATTCGGTGTCCTCCGCCAAGGTGATGACGATGGGTATCATATCGGCGATAACGCATACTGCTTCCGTCGAAATTGTTCTGTACGCACTCACGACTCGCATGGCCATGAGGCGGAACGTACTGTTCAATTTTCTTTGGTTCTTCTTCGTTTTCAGCGCTGCATCCCAGGCTGGACCTCCATACCTCAGTATCGACGACGATACACTAGCCAGAAGACGCCTCTTGCTGCTGCTTGGTCCTAAATTGTTAGGCATGATTCTGGCTATCGCATTGATGGCCTTCGCCGCCTTCTCACATGCGTAGTCGACGTGGCTATTGAAGTTTAGCCGGTCATCGATCATCACTCCAAGATACTTCAGCACGCGCTTTGATGCTATGGCGTTCTCCCTGACGGTAATTTCTGCTCGCTGAACAGCTTTGCAGTTACTGACAAATAGCACTTCCGTTTTGTGGTGGGCTATCGCCTCGGTTGCCAGCATTTCTACCTCTTCTAACGTCTCGCCTACTACCGCAAACACGACGTCGTCCGCAAATCCTACGATCTCAACTCCTTTGGGCAACTTCAGCGTTAGCACGCCGTTGTACATCACGTTCCAGAGCGTTGGGCCAAGGATGGAACCTTGTGGCACGCCCGCCGTGATCCGGATTGATTTCTCTCCCATGTCCGTCTCGTAGACTAGAACCCGGTTCTGGAAGTAACTCCTTATAATGCTACACAGGTAATCAGGAACCCTCATTCCATGCAGTGCTTCGGCGATGGCCTCCCAGCTGGCACTGTTGAATGCGTTCTTCACGTCGATCGTTATCACGGCGCAATATCGATCTCCTCTCCGCTTCTGTTTAGCGCTTTCTCGGCACTCTCGACCACTGTCCGAATTGCATCCACCGTTGATCTCCCTTTCCGGAATCCGAACTGCCTCACCGACAATCCATGCTCACTCTCCGTGAATTTCGTTAGCCTGTTGAGGATGATCTTCTCCAATAGCTTTCCGACTGTATCAAGCAAGCATATAGGCCTATACGATGCTGGATCCCCCGGCGGTTTTCCGGGTTTCGGCAGCAGCACTAGCTTCTGTATCTTCCATCGGTCCGGGAAGTGACCTTCATCCAGACACTTCTGCAGCACTATCCTGAACATGTCCGGGAACGCCTGGATCGCCACCTTCAACGCCATGTTGGGGATTCCATCCGGACCGGGAGCTTTCTTCGTCTTCAGTCCTTTCTCCACTGCTACGAGTTCCTCGTTGGAGACTTGTCTACCTTCGGTGTTGTCTGCCTCTGCCTCGCCGTACGGTGTAGGTGGCCAGGTCATTTGGTCGTGCTTCGGGAAAAGTCCCTCCACGATGACTTTCAGCTTGTCTGGGCACATTTCAACGGGCATCGTTGGACCTCTAATCTTCGCCATCATGACTCGGTATGCGTCACCCCAGGGGTTGGCATCAGCGTCTCGACACAGCTCCTTGAAGCAGTTTGACTTGCTCAGCTTTATCTCCCGTTTTAGAGCGGCCTTGGCTGCTCGAAACACCACCCTTCGCTCTGCTCTGTCTGCATCAGTTCTTGCTCTCTGAACGCGCCTTCTGGTTCGGAGACAACTAGCACGGAGAGTGCTAAGTGCCTCGTTCCACCAGTAAGCTGGCCGCCGTCTGTTCCTTGCTTCCGATTTCCGCGGCATGGTTGTGTCGCATGCCCTCACTAACGATTCGGTCAACTCGTCCGCGCTTTGGTCTGGGACGCTGCTGTCTACCCGGAGAGCTTCTACAAAGAGATCCTTGTCGAATGTCTTCGTCTTCCACCTCCGCTTGCTTACTTTCGTTTTCCACATTGCCATAGGTATCCGTTGGCCAAAGCTGTACCGGATCGCCTGATGGTCACTATGGGTGTACTCCTCGCACACTGTCCAGTTCATATTTGCCATTAGCGACGTACTGCAGAAAGTGACGTCGATAATGGATTCCCTACCATCTTTGCGGAAGGTGCTGATGGTTCCTTCGTTGGCCAGACTGACGTTCAACTTTGCCAGAGCTTCCAGCAGGCTATACCCTCTTGCGTTGGTACATCTGCTCCCCCAATCCACTGCCCAAGCATTGAAGTCTCCTGCGATGACGACTGGTCTCCGTCCAATGAGCTCTTCGGTGAGCCCATCTAGCATCTGGTGGAACTGCTCAATTGTCCATCTCGGGGGTGCGTAGCAACTACATACATAGATTCCCTTGATTTTGGCGATCACGAAACCTTCGTATGAGCTTGCCACCACTTGTTGAATGGGATACCTGCCCATGACTTGTATGGCCGCCATTCCTGCTCTATCCGCCACCCAGTTACCATTATCGAGAGGGACTCGGTATGGCTCTGCAATGATTGCAACGTCGCACTTTGTTTCCGTTGTTGACTGCCACAACAGTTGCTGTGCTGTGTTACAATGATTGAGATTTATTTGGGTTACCTTCATTATTGCTGGCCCACCATAGCCTTCTTGAACTCAGGGCACCTGAAACTTCCCGTCACATGGCCGTTTCCGTCCTCCTTTTTGCAGAGCATGCACCTCGGTTGCTTTGTACAGTCTTTTGCAACGTGCCCCTTCTCTCCGCATTTCCTGCACAGATCAGATCTGTCAGGGCCTTTGCAGTGTCTCGCCTGGTGACCGAAGCCCATGCATTTGTAGCATCTCTCCATTTTCTTAGATACCCGAGGAATAGCTTTCAACGGGCACACTGACCACCCAACCTTGATTCGGCCAGTCTTCAGCAGCTCGTTAGCTGCGTCCGAAGAAAGTCGTATCGACGCCGTCTGCGTGCCACCATACGCCTTTCTCAACCGAATTGCCATCGATACGTCTCCCAGGTTGCATTGCACCTTCAGCGCACTTTTCAACTCGTCTTCTGTTGTGATCTCGTCCAGATCCCTGCACTCTACCACTGACTCCTGGGATAAGGCTCTTACGTTCGCCGTCTCGCCAAGAGATTTTTCGACGAGCTCCTTAAAAGCTGCGCTCTTAACCGTAGGGTCCCTTTTCAGCTCGAATAGCATCTCGCCTTTCTGGGTTCGCCTGGTTTTCACCACGTTCTCGCCTAGTTGTTTCAACTCCGGATCCTCTCTCACTTTCCGGAGGAGTGCTGCGTAGGACGTTTTGTCCTTCGCCTCAACAACCAGAGCGTCACCCTTGCTTCTCTCCCTACGAGGCCTAGGCTTCTCCTTATTCTTCCTGTCTTCCTTCTTCTTCTCTTCCTTCTTCCTCGCTTCCTCTTCCTTCTTCCTCACTTCATCTTCCTTCTGTTTTTTCTTCCTCTCCTTCTGGTTCTCGACTTTACGCCACGCACCATTTTCTCCCATCTCCTTGATGCCTTCCTCGTCGTCCCTGCGTTGTTTGGGCTCCTCCTCATCTCCTGGCGTGTCCCTATCTCTCTTTTCAGGACGTGGATTTGTGGGTCCCTTCGGCGTCTCATGTGCTTGAGCCAGTCTTATGCTCTCCTTGGCCTCCAGCAGAGCCTTTTCGGCATTTTCGGCTCTTTTTCTCCACTCTTGACATTCCTGATCTGCCACTGTTATGCCGGATTTGATACCGGTCACAAGTTGCTTGATCTCTTTGTGTACGTTGTTTTTATCCTTCACGAACACATAGAGATCATCGATCTTCCTCCTGACCTCCGTCATTTTGGTTCTCGCGAGCTGCAGTTCTTGGGATTTGCTACTACTGGATATTGGTGTGAATATCTGGCTTAGCCCAACGCCTGGCTGCTCTTCTTGAAACTTACTGCTGCTGCTGGAACTCGCAGTGACCCCCAGGTTCGACACTGGTGATCTCTGCAATATCCCACTCCTTGCGAACACGTTTGCTCCTCCGTTTTCACTGTCTGGCGTCTTGCCGTCGTTCTTCATATTTTTTTGGATTTTCTCATTTTCTTCTTTTTTGTTTCTTTCTCCGTTTTTCTCCATTCTGTTGGGTCCCCCCTCCGGGCCGCTATCTCCACTCGTTGTATGTAGTCGCCTATCGTGATTCCATGGTTATCTATGCAAGCAGGGAGGCCATGCTAGGGTTGACACGGTCCTACATGGGGGCCGTGTTCAGAGCCAGATCGGCGTAAGTCAGGAATATTACATCTGAGCCTACTACTCACCAATCACCAATTGGTGATGAGTTTTGAACGTATCCGGAGGCCTGCCAAGGTTTTACCGGGACGGGGGCAGCCACACTATTAGCCCACTCGCCATTTCAAGAAGGTGTCACCCTTCTTTACTTAGGGAGCAGAATAGCACGACTGTCAGCCATGTAGCGTGGGATCCAATCCATTGTACCGTGTCGTGTCCATAGTTCCATGCCGTGTCCAGTATGCCGTAATAAGGATCTTACTGGCGTCGATCCTAACGGTTGGCACTCCTGCGGGTTGACGAAGCATTTCCTCGATCGCCGTGTTATGGTTACCGCGCCAGTGTTCGCGTCGCACCCCCTCACTTTGCTATTGTCAGAAGGACAACATTGCCCAGGCTACACCACGGGGTGGCGTGAGGTAGGAACTTGTGAGAACCAAACCAGAGCTAGGTTGTCAACTCACCATTTGTAGCCCTGTGTGTGTGTGTGTGTGTGTGTGTGTGTGTGTGCGAGTGTGTGTGAGTGTGTGTGTGTGTGTGTGTGTGTGTGTGTGTGTGTGTGTGTGTGTGTGTGTGTGTGTGTGTGTGTGTGTGTGTGTGTGTGTGTGTGTGTGTGTGTGTGTGTGTGTCTGTGTGTGTGTGTGTGTGTGTGTGTGTGTGTGTGTGTGTGTGTCTGTGTGTGTGTGTGTGTGTGTGTGTGTGTGTGTGTGTGTGTGTGTTTTTATAGTTGTGCCAATAATTTATAGTTATGATTACCTGATAGTTATAAAATAATGTAAATATTATTGTTCGCTGTACCGAAGAATATTTTTTTAATAAATATTATTTAAATGTGATAAAGATGTTTTCCAAAAAAATATTAATAAATCGTTGAATGTTTACTATTATATTTTACAGACTGAAGACATACGCTGCATGATGAAAACACGTGATGCTGCATAATGAGTGTTTGGAAATCGAATTACATGACCTGTGAAACTTTCCGCTTAATTGAGTACACATCACGATTTGACAGTGATTACTCTACGACTGCTGAACATGGAAATCCAGTGGTGAGATAAGCAAATAATCTTATAATACAATTTAGCATTGTTACTTGTTTGAATGAACATCTTAACCCAGCTGATGAATGTTGTAATGGTTTGTTTACTGAAGCAATAAATTGTATACCATTGTGCTGTTTATAAGTTGACATGACTAAATCGTCCATTGAATTATACCATCATTTGCATTGATGATGTTATTATCTTGGCGTGTGCATAAAAATGGGGCCTCATAGCCTAGCCAGTAAATGCACGGTATTACCAAGCCGGAGGCGGCGGGTTCGATTCCCGGTCCAGTCGAGGGAATCTTTCGGGTTGGAAATTTTCTTGACTTACCTGGGCATAGAGTATCATTGTGCTTGCCACACAATATACAAATTCATGCATTGGTAATTGGCATCGAAAGCTCTCAATTAATAATTGTGGAAGTGCATTTAGAACACTAAGTTGAGAGCACGCAATAAGCTAATATGCGCTGAGCAATAAGCTTGAAATGCGCATAAGAAGAAGAAGAAGAAGTGTGCATAAAAAATCCCTTCTTTATTCCTAAGGACTGTTCATTAATGAAAGTAGACAGCTGTTTCTCAAAGGAAACTATTTATACATAAGTTTACTTTATATAAATGAAAATCAACATACATATGACTGATTTCACGTGAGTTTGAATGTTTACTTCTCATTTTTGCTCGGACTTTTCTCTTAATACCGCGCATTAGATTCTGCACAGCTTTCTTATTAACCTTTCGTTGTGCTGCAGACCAAATTTTCTTGAAGCAGTCAACAGAGCGTGCTTCTCTTTCATCTTTCTTATGATGCCGTTTAATTATTGCCCAGTATCTTGCGATAGGAAGCAGTTCAGGGCAGTTAAGGGGATTATGGATTTTTTCGACCAAATCGACTTTTTGCTTCTTGAGCATCTTCAACGTAGCAGAAGCATAATGAGCAAATCCCAGATCCGGCCAAAACAATGGAAGATACGTATGCTCTCTGTAGAAAGGTAGAAGCCATTTTTTGATGCAATCTTTTCTGTAATTTTCACCATTGATTGTTCCCGTTGTGAAATACACGAAGAAACTCTTCAAGCCACAGGAGCAAATGGCTTGCCACACCAAAACCTTTTTTTTCCAAATTTTTCAGTTCGGATGTATCGATGCCCGGGAAGTGTACTGGTATCCAATTTGACGTACGTATCGTCGTCCATCAAAATATACCGGTTCGGCTTTTGAAGGAGAACGTCATACAAGTTCCGTGACCGTATTTTCGAAGAAGCTTTCTGTGTCCTTTTAGGTGCTTTTTGCTTCTTGTAGGTTCTGATATTGCTACGTTTTTTGATGTTCTGCACACTTTCGACGGTAATGTCCAATTTTTTGGCAATTTCACGAACGGAACACGGTTTATGCGATTTAAAAAGGCGTACTGTTGCCAGCTTCTTTTCTGGTTCGATGCCCCTTTTTTGGCCCAGATTTCGGTAAATCTTCAAGACAACACGTTTCTCCAAACTTCTTAACAATTTTTAACACTGTAGATTTACTGCACTTCACGCTTTTTGCCAATTCTCGAAACGACAACTTTTCTGAAAACCATTTGTGCAGAATTAATCTGCGAGTTGATAAGCGGATCTGACCCATCGTTCGAAATTCCTCACTTTTTTTCAGGTGTGATGCCAAAATAATCAATTCTTTTACACACTGAGCGAAAATTCGTAGTTTTTCGTTACGTTTTAATCCTAAACCATTGATAAACAGGTATCCTTTTTCTTTAATGAACAGTCCTTACGTACAATAATTCATCTAGTAATCATTGACTTAATGTATAAATCAGAACAACTTTACAAACTGACATATCAGCATAAGTAAACAATCACTTCAATGACAAGTATGGGAAATATTTCCCTAAGAGGAAGAGGAGACAATAGGGAGACTCTTATGAACCAATTTTCTGTCAAACGCGAACCAGCGCCTGATTGGTCGGGCGAACGCAGCCCAGTGGCAGGCGCTTAGGCAACATGTTATACTGTGACAGCGGGCCCAGTACAGCAAAATAAACAATTTTAGCCCGGGACATGCTGTCTACTGTCAAACGCTGCTGTGTGTATAGGCCTTGTCACTGGCGTGGGCTAACGTATAGATACGCGAGAATTTTTACAACAGAGGGATTCCATCCAGAATGAGCTCAAAAAACCTGAAATCGTGCTCGACCATCTTCGATTTGGATGATACTTTGTCCATATTTTCAGTATGATAGACCAAGTATTTTCGCAGGAGAGGAGACCCTTTTGACTCAAGGGTAATTTTTGAAAAGGGCCTATGTGTTTTTGCACACATACATTTAAAAAAAAATGTAGTTCGAAAACAGCTGGTTGTAGAAAAAAAATTACTTAGAAGGAGTTGTAGGAAACTAATAAGGCTTTATAAAAAAAATATACACGGAATTTTTTTTATGCGTTTTTTTTTACAAAAAAAAAATAAACCTCAAAATTCCAATAACCAAAAAAACATATTTTTGATTTTTTTCATATTTTTTTAATAAAAACTTTTGAAAACAATTCCAGGATGGACAAACTTTTAATAAAAAAGTTTTTCTAAGAGCAACTTTTAAGGCATTTTTTAAACTTTCATTATTTACGGCAAAATGTTCAGTTTGATGTTAGTATATGATTATAAAAATCATTTCAAACGATAGTGCTTATATCGATAAAATTCCTAAATATAACCGTTTTCGAGATATTTCAAATTTACTTTCATCAATTTTTTGTAGAAAATAAGCCGTTTTCATAAGTTAATCGTGATTCTCCATCAGCATTGATAAGTTTAGCAAGATACACATATATTAACCTTCAATTTGTCTTTTGACGATTGAACGATCAGACAACCCGTTTTGAATTTACAGGGGAAATGAAAACACTATTATTTTAAATATAGAAACCAACACAAGTTAAGTTGCACTTATTTTCATTATCAAGCGTAGTTTCATCCTATTTAAGATGTTCATTTTGATGTACCAATCCATCTTATTATTTTAGGTACATCATAATGTCTTCCATGGTATTTTTCATGAAAAAAGAGCTTCTCTGTTAGAGTAGCTTCAATACCAACACAATATTTATACCTGAATATCCAAATGGTACCTACGTTTGTATATAAGCCTGTCCATCCTTTTGAAAACAGACATCACTAAAAAAAAATCTTTTTGAGTGACCAAGTATAATTTGAATATGGAATTCAAGAAGGTCGAGTGTTGCAAGCCGTTTCCTAATAAACGGTGTTTGTCAAAGCTTCGTAAATTATCCGAAAATTTGATTGAAAAACATAAGTTTCTAGAGTGGAAATTTAATTTGGATACATCTCTATCAATCTGTGATACGTGTCGCTTGAATTTAAATAGAATCGATCCATGTGCTGAAAATCTGGACCTATAATTGCAACCGTCAGTCATGGACATCGTGGAGCCGCAGCCATCTACATCGACATGGCCTCGAAGAAATACCATCAACTACACACTTAGATTTTTTTTGCCGAGATGGGCACCACCGAGCAGCTCGGCATTTTATTTTGCTGGAAATTCAGCAAAAAATATGTTTGTTAGCTGAGATCTCGGCAAAATTCCCGTTTTTTAGCTGCTCGGTGGTGCCCATCTCGGCGAAAAAATCTAAGTGTGTACGTCAATAACAACAACATCATCTCAGGATAGTGGAGAGCAACAATTTTCCAGGACGCATAATATTGAGCTATTCAACAAGGGCATAGCTGGTATCGCCAATATGACAAAAAAAAAATTCCAGAATGTTAACTATCCCCGTTAAATTACCAACTGTTTTCGAACTACATTTTTTTTAAACGTATGTGTGCAGAAACACATAGGCCCTTTTCAAAAATTACCCTTGAGTCAAAAGGGTCTCCTGCGGAAAATACTTGGTCTATCATACTAAACATATGTGCCAAGTATCATGCAGATCAAAGTTTGGTGACTGACCGATTTGGCGTGGAATTGGTCAACAGGGAAACTATTTTCTTGTATTTTGACAGCTGACTGTGTACCCCAAAATGAAATAATTTTTTTTTCAAGATCGTTTCCGCGAGAGAAGAAGAACACATCACAGACAAAAAGAAGCCAGTTGTCTCCTCTTCCTCGTAGATGTTTCCCTACTAATTGGAGTTGTATATTTGTGAGTAAACAGCTGTTAACAGTTACGAAAAATCAAAGTCAATGTTTACAAATGCAAAAATATAAAATTCAAATTATTCTTCTCAAATGCAATACACATTAATGCTAAGTTATTCGCCACACGCATGTCACTATTTCTTCACGGCAAATGAGAACGACCCAAATTTGAGTTTAGTTCACTCATAATCGCCAAAAGTGCAGGAACTCAGCGATGAGTAAATTTATCTAATGGTTTCCTGTGGAAAACCTAAAATATCTGCCGGAAAATGAGGAAATTGACAAACATTTTATTCAGTCTCGGAGTAGTACCAATAGACTGAGTGAATCCAATCTTTACTTTTCTCAAATTTAAGAATTTTTCTCTTGAAATCCTAGGAAAAACATGAGGCAAATTTACTCATCGCTGAGTTCCTGCACTTTTGCGATTATGAGTTGACTAAACTCAAATTTGGGTCGTTCTCATTCGCCGTATTCATGATAGTCGAACAAATTGTCACTGTGTTGAAAGACGACATCATTACCTCCATAAAATTCCCAAGGGCTTTTAGCATCCAGTTTTTTTGACGTAGGACTACGTCTTTGATTTCTATATGGGGGTACACTTTGTGAAAACCGAAAATGGAACATGTAACAAATTAAGAAAGATTTTCAACGTTAATATCTCAGCTGCCCCTGGTTCAATTTCAATAACTTTATCACCAATCGATCAGAAATATGGCAACGCATCGATAACAATGCTTTTGAGTGTTGATTTTCAACAAAAAACTATTGAAAAACTGGTAAATGTCCAGCATTGTCCAAAAGCGTCAAATTAACTAACAATTCCGCCAATTACCTACATGCAT